AAGTTGCAATTATCATGCCCCCCAATGGCACCGCGTTTCGATACCAATGATGGGTAAGGCATGGATAGCCCTATGTGTAGCCTTGTGCTTAATAACAACAACACATGCAATTGTCACCCACTTCCTTTTAGAAGATATCTAACATCGAGATATGGACGCTTAAATATGTTTTGTTTTATTTGCTCATCATTTCATCAGCACTTGTGTATTATCCATTTCCTGTAGTGATTGTAATAATATAGTTTCTGCTGGAAGGTACGCTATACACAAGTTATATTTCTTGCTTTAAATTTCTTATCACCAATGATGTACCCAAGGTGTATTTTCTCGTGTTCTTCTTTTTTCTCACATTTGGTTTGTTTAGATTTGTACTGAATTAGGCTTTAAAGATCTTCATCTGTCTTCTGTAATTTTTTCTGATATTTCCTGGTTTCTTTATCGTTAAGTATATTTTGGAATTGTTTTTCCACCTATTGGAATATGTTTTATTGATTCAAACATCTTTTCTTGCACCATGTTGGTTTCCACTCTCATGGCTAAGCATTGACCGAGTGGGAAGAATTCACATAAAGTATGTAGCCACTTTTTATGCTTCTTCATATTCTCAGCTGAGGTGAATAAGACATTTCTTATGAATCATGATTATTGGAGAATTAAACATTGCATTATTTTTCCTGTTTATTCAATTGGACCCGTTATTTCCAATGTGATAGTTTCCACCCTGTACACCCTGCAGTGGTAATAATTGAGTATTTTATGGGTTAATGGTATTTGTTGCTTTGCTTTGTTGATTTTTAAAGGACTGTATTGGGAATGAGATGAGCAACATCATTGCTAGTAATAAAAGATGATACCAACTTACCACATAATGCCATCCCATCCTTTGGCAAATTCTAATACCCATTAATTGGGATAATACTTCTGAAAATCAGATTATCTGTCAAAATGGATACGTATATTTTCTTCCAATTTTTCAAACCCTTCCTTCTCTTTTTCAGTATGGCTGTTCTGTGTGATTGCCTGTTTAGGTCTAAGTACTTAATTTGATTACATTTTGCATGTGATTATTAAAATAAAATGGCTCAGTGGTAAGATCAATGGCTCATAATTCAAGAATTCAAGGTTTAATCTTCACAGTGGA